ATGCCAAAATCTTAACTCTAGGAGATTAGAAAGAGTATGAAAAAAAATAAATTGGGAAGGGTTGACTAACATATTTAAGAAAATTAATACTTTAAATATGTAATGGACGTATTAATTAATAAAAAAATAAAAATAACATATAATGACATATATAAAGTAATTTTAAAATCCCACATGTTATCGGTAAAAAAATTTGATATGTGCCAAAAACGATTTTAATTTATTGAGATAGATTTTATTTATTTAGCGATAACTGCATTTACCAAATATTGTGTTGTGTTTTTAAGCTTTTCTATTTATTATGAATAATTAAATAGTTTTATTTTATTATTTTTTATTAAACTTTTTACGTGAAAGTACATTAAATATAAAATAATAGAAATAAAATATCTCGGAATTGAAGGGGTACGTGTGGCAAGGTAGTGGAGTCACATGAAACGGAAAAAAAAAAAAGATAACCTCGAACAATCCTTTGAGTTTGACAAAGATAACATATTTAATTCAAGAGTGTTTCCCATCACGTCGCCACCTTCAGCTTCAAGACCATTTCACCCCATTAATATTCCCCTACATGTCATTCCCATCTGTTAATGAAGTCCAAATTGATTTCATTCTAAACTCAATATCATATATAAATAGAATGGTGTTATTTGGACGAATAACTTATTAAAACTTGTATTTTTGATTCGACAACGGTGGTTCCTATTATCTGAGAAATTAAATCAAATATTACATTAACAGCCCTTTATTTACAATTTAGTTGTGATATGTATCCTTTTACTTTATAAAAGTTATTTTTGGTCCTTTATATATATATATATATATATATATAGCTATATATATATATATATAATATATATATATATATATCTATATATGGCTAGGTTATAATGTGGATTGACAACTATTGTGTGGACGTGTAGATAACGTTATTCTATGACACTGATATGTGCCAACTGTTTTTATAGGATAGGAGCTGATCGGTGGCGCCAATGAGATTATGAGCCCTACATCTCAAAGGCCATCTGGTCCTTGAGCTAGGCCTCTAATTAAGCTGGCATTTTTTCTAGCCATGCCATATATTATTTTTGCACCTAATGCCCTCTTCAAGTCGTCATCGTTATCATTGACTTGACACAAGAAAAGCAAACATCATGAAATTAGTCTAGAAATAAACCGCCAGCTTGACACAAAAGTTCATTAAGGCATTTAATCAACACCTGGTGTACAATCCCAAAAACATCTCAATTATAGAAATCACCCATAAATATCGCTCCCATCTCATGTAATGACATTAATAAAAAGTTAGAATCAATCTAATTTAATTTCATCTGATACGCAACTAGAACCAATTGAATAAGATAAATCGAATAACGCCCCATTTTATCACGTGATTAACGGGAAAAAATTAAGAAATAGGATGATAAGAAAAACCTCGAATGGAAATACAATGAATCTTTGGACTTGGGAAAGAATCGAAGGACTCACCGCAAGCAAAGAACGCACGGAAATCACCCATCTTGGTAATAATAGTGGAAAGAGAGCTCTATCATGATCGAATCTGTCTTTCTGAGTTCTCTAATTTGATAGATGCAAAAGGTATGGAAGAAAATAATGCTCCGTAACTTAAAACGACGTCGGATGACTATTTGGGTACCTACATCTGCATACCCTTATATGCACTTTTCCAATAGATATATATATATATAATATATATATATATAGATGATATATATAGATATATATATCTATATATATATATTATCTATATGGGAAAAGTGAATATACCCCGTAAGGGTATAGAAGATTAGGTAGCCAATGCTTAAAACTACGTAGTTTTGCTTACTGTTTCCATTTGTTTCTGAAAAAAAAAAAAACAAATTCGTTCAAATAGTTACTACGTTTCCTTAATCTAATGAGCACGTCGACAAATTTCTTAATTCGAATCAGTGCATGATCATCGTTGTCAAGAAATCGCATTCACCAAAAACGATTCATAGAAATCAAAATTCATCAAAACCATTTCATAAAATCAGAATTTTGTTCAGGAAACTTAATTTCTCCATGATTTCCTGGCTTCAATGATCGCTGCTTCAAAGAAATCGTGATTCACATAAATGATTTTAAATAAATCAAAAATTAGGTCAAAACAAAAAGCTTGATTCACAAAATCATGATTCCATGTAGGAGAACGAATTAAGTACAACTTTTAACAAAAAAATAAAAAAGAGAAAAATGTTATTGAAATAATTAAATTTTCTGAAAAAAAAAAAAAATAATTTCCTTAAATAATCTACGTTTCCTTATTCTTGGTGAAATCCAACTCAGGTTACTCCTTCTTTTTCGAATGATAGCTATCGACTTCACCAATTCACAGAAAAAGAAAAAAAATCGGTGATTTCATGCAATCACAAGACGACTACTTAATACCGATAAATCAAATAAAAAAAACTTTGAGTTGTCGAAGTTGGATGCGTTGATCATACAACTTTCTCACAACACAAAATCGATGCAATCAAAGATCGGAATTAACACTAATCGTTATTCACATTAAAAAAAACCCTTCACCGTAAAAAAAAAACTGCAATTCACAACAGCAAAGTGGATTTCGTCTGGTCTAACAGGTTGGTCAATTCCTCAATTTATAAGTTTATCAGTTTATTATCGAATACCTATTAATATTCTTCTAAATCCAATAAAAAAGAAGTTGCAATTCATGAATTGGGTTATAGGTGTTGTAGTTAACTTGCTATATTCCACCAATCACAATTAACGGAAAAAACTAAAAAGTTTTAATTCAGGAATTTGAATTCGATCAAACAGTACAAGTAATTTTTTTCTGAAACTTATTTTTTGAAAGTTTTTCTGATTTTATTATTGACATTGTTGTTTCTAGAGGTAGACATTGCGGGTTAACGATTTTTCTGAAAGATAAAATATCCAATGTATTTTATTTTTTGTTTTAGTTTTTCATTGTTGGTTGTTATATATGTTTACGTATAATGTTTCAATATGCGTTGTGTCTATTGTAGGCAATAATAGTGAAGGAAGCCGAAGGCAAACAAATCCAGCTATAGAACCATATATAACCGGAGATATTGACACAAGTGATTATGTGGATGCAACATATGAAAGTGAAAAAATAAATAGTATCGGTGTGAACATTGAATTTGACGAAGATGATGTTAATGATGAAAGGATATTGGGAAAGGTTTTTTGATACGCCCGATGATGCCTATACATTTTTTAATGATTATTCATTTTTGCATGGCTTTGGTATACGTAGAGATGACACAATTAAAAATCCTAAAACAAATGAGCCCTTTCGGAAGATATATGTATGTAACAAAGAAGGCTTCAAAAGGATGGACAAAGATGCTTCAAGTGAAAATGCGAAAAAAACGTCGTAGAGATGTTAGAACCGGATGTCAAGCAAGCTTCGAATAACAAGACCAGGAGGATGGAAAATTGTTGTTTGACTTGTTTAATGACACACACAACTCATGACTTGACCATGACACCTACGAAGTTATAAAGCATCCGATCTCATAGCATTTCCACCGTTCAATAGAAGGTAAATCTCTTATGGGGGCATTTTGTCAAGCATGGTTGAAAACCTTCTCAATTAAAAAGGCTGTTACTACATGTAAAACCCTCAAATGTAGCTGATGTAACTTCAAAGCAATGTGCCGATGTTTTATCTGAGCATTGAAAACAACATAGAGGAAAGGAGTTTATATGGACTTATCAAACATTTTCAAGATAAAACATTAGTGGACAGTGACCAGTATTTTGTCGTGGATTTGTTTGATGACGGGTAAGCTAGAAATGATCTTTTGGGCAGATGGTAGATCAAGAGATGCCTATACAAATCAGAGATGTTGTTGTGTTTGATGTCACTTATATGACTAACAAATTCAAGATGCTTTTGCTCCCTTTACTGGGGTGAATCATCATGGACAATCTATACTATTTGGTGGGCATTGCTTGAAACGAAAAGGAAGAGACATTTGAATGGTTATTTGAACGTTCCTCAAATGTATGTTTGACAAGTATCCGAAGGCAATTATTACAGATCAAGACAAAGCTATGGGCAATGCAATAAAAAAAGTGTTTCCAAATACCCGATCGCTTTTGTTTATGGCATATCAGGAAGCATGAAACTGAGCACTTCGATCGTATGTTTCCCGTTACAGTGATTTTCAAGAGACTCACAGACAATGGGTAAATAGTGACACCATTGAACAATTTGAAGCACATGGGAAGATATGCGTATTAAGTATGAACTAGAAAGCAATTGGTGGCTTAGTGATATGTATAACCAACGTATACATTGGGCTAAACCCTTCTTGAAGGATATTTTCTTTGCTGGTATGACCACAACTGGACGAAGTGAGAGTATCAATCTTTTTTTGATGGATTTGTTAACTCGGGACCCATGTTGAATGAATTCGTTGTACAATACGACAAAGCAGTTGAGTCACAAGGGCTGCCGAAGAAGATGAAGACTTCAAGACTATGAACTCGAGACCAGTTCTTTCTTCAGTGCATCCAATCGAAGCAAAAAGCGGGTCAATTTTTATACTAGGAAGATGTTTGATACTTTCAAAAAAGAATGGAGTGAAGCTATTACCAATTTGACTCACGAGACTATAACAAAAACTACAGAAGAAAGCACATATAGAGTTGGGCAATTGGATGTTGATAATAAATATTGGCGTATTGTTATCTTTTCGCTCTTTAAATCAAGTCAGCGTCACATGTTTCGTGTTCTATGTATGAGACAAATTGGATGTTATGCAAGCATAGCTTTATAGGTGAATGAAGACTAAGCTGTTCAAAGAACTACCGAATCCATATATTTTAACCGCGCTGGACCATTGAGGCTAGGTACAAAGCTAGGGATAGTGCATGAAGTATGGAACTCAGAGAATTAAATAATGAAAAGGGAGTTAGTGCCTACACATTATTTTGTGTCCGTTCAAAT